AAAAACAATTTAAAAAGTTTAAAGTACTAATCATTGTTCCATCTAACGGTGCATTTTATTAGGCCCTCTGACACTAGAGTCATAGTAGAATTGGATGTTACCACGATGTTTCATAAAGAGGTGTGGATTGAATCTCAATCGTAAAGATATTGGCAACAATTGATTAAAAATTCTTTAAAAGTTTTAAGTTCTAATCCTTCTTCCATCACACATTTTCAATAACATGGATATAATATTGGCAAACAATTTTTTTTTCTCTTCAATATCCACTAAAGAAATTCTAGTGTTGTAAATAAAAAATTATAAAAAAAATTGATAAAGCGAAAAGGAATTCATTCCTTGTTTCACGATAAAAAGCATATATGAGAGGTAATCTCACCAAACTAATGCAGCAAGCAAACAGACATCAAACCGAGTAGCCCAAAATGTAGGGTGCGTCGCATTCCTTATAAACATTTGAATCAAATATTCAACATTTGGAATATAGCACTAATCAAAACGATATTGCACCTAGTAGCTATATGTTTTGAATAAAACATTTGAAATATTCAACATTTGGAACGATATTGCACCTAGTAGCTATATGTTTTGAATATCACTAAACAGCCAGCCCCTAAACCATGAGAAAATCACAAACCAAATGTGCAAAATAACATACCATCGAGAGATGAAAAAATCACATACAAAAAATCATCAAAGTTTAGCAGTAGCCTTACCTTCCATCAGAACATCCGGTGACCATGATCAATTGAGACTTTAAAGAACAAGCAGTGGAAATGCCAAAACAAATTGCAGTAATCCATGAATTATGAGCCTGAATAAGTCCAATGAGCATCGCATTCACAGGAATGTTCCCATGCTTTATAGTAAAGCATTCTGGCTCACAAATCCTCCAAAAAGAAACATCACCAGATTTTGCACCAGCAGAAAGTATAGCACAGCAGGTTTCAGAAGATTGCAGTACTGGTGACCAGGAAACAACCAGGGAAGACAATACAGCACTACGAGAAACATACTGCTGGGCAGTGATATGGGGCAAGTTAGAACTCTGATCTAGAGTACTTTCATCATCAGTCTCAGCATTAGCTTCATTATCCTGAAAATTAATCAAAAAAACAGCAATGAATGTTTCCAATTACTGGTGCAGACAGAATACATCCACAAAGAGTCAACAAAACACAAATATTTATCAAGAAACAAGGTGTGAGAAGATAGAAGTTGAACACCTCTGGTCCTCTAGATAAACAGCTGCTTGAAAACAAAGCATAAAATGCTAGCCATTTTCAAGCCAGTGCCATGAATCATGTCAATTAACTTTACCTCCAAAGTGATCCCATCACCGCCATAACATATGCCCAGGCTGATGATATCTGGATCGACTTCTGTAGGGCTGCTTCTCCTACAGAAACAAAATGAATATTCTCAATGCTGCAGATGATAAAGTATAATACGGACAACAAATTAAAAGCAAATGAAAATAATTAAAAGTAAGAGTCTCAATGTAAAAATGAAAATGTAATATTAAAAGGGTGCAGACTACCAAAATAGGTTATCCCCGACAACTTAAGAATATTCCTAGACATGGAAACAAGTCCGTTCAGTTTAGTTTTAAATCCAATGAGTAAAATCACGCACTTTCCCTTAGAAATATAAAAACTATTCATGACTTGTAGATATGATAATTGAATGGTCATCTAAATTGCAATCAGGATAAAATTGTAAAACATTCACAAAAAATTTTAGATAATATTTTGAGTACTTTGCACATGTCAATATCGCTCCGCGGCTTAAGACTCACTATATTTCTGCTTTTCATTGAACTCAATTTAAATTAGATGACACTTGATGAAAATGCATGACTAAGTGCACGCTACCGACTCAAAATTTGCTTTAAGTTCATGCTACCAACTCCAATTTTGTATTCAAAGTGTGAAGTATTTTAAAAATCAAAGCAACAAAACAAGTCTTGTTCACAGCTTTCTGTCAGGTATTCCCCTTTTTGCAATTTCAAAAAAGTGCAGTTCCGCTTCTTTTCATGGCAAAACGCTTATTTGACTGTATGGATGATGATGATG